CAGGATAGTTAACTAGCATGTAAAATCACTTGAGAGCTAGCGTTAGTTAACTACCGAATCGCAGCTCAGTTGACCTTGTTAACCTAATGTTACTGTTTAAACTGTACTAGTCAATCGACGTCTCTTCCTCAGATTGCTGTTTTTATTCTCCAAACTCGTGTGAGTGAAGCATCAAATTTGCTCTATTGTGTGTGAGCCCATTAGCCTGCTGGCCACCAAGCTAACAGCCCCACACACCACAGAGCACAGCTAGCTAGCTAGTTTCTACTTCTCTGTCACTCCAACACCAGTCACTCGACGTCTCCAATTCATATTTGAGCCCGTATTCATCATGGGTTACCACAGGTTAGCCAGAGGGAACCGGTCGTCCAGCAGAGATATTAACTTAGCCTAAGCTCGCGCGTACGTAACTATGCTAGTTAGGCTATTTCGCTAGCGTTAGCTAGCAACTAACAAGTGTACACACCAGTTTATTACATCAGAAAGTCCCACTTTAAAAATGTAATTTAAAAACGCACATTTCTCAATTTTTTTGAGAGAGCAAACAGTCATCTTAAAGAGGTTACCAACATTTTATATGATGGCTAGCTAGCTAACGTTAGCCAGCTAACTTAACTCTTAGCAAGTAGTGCTTATTTTCGGTTTGATGTATGTAAAGTTCAGCATTCACAAATTCTAGGAATAGGTTTGAATAAACATCCAATTGAAAACTATTGCTACGTCAAATAAACCAATAATTTATTCACCAAACGCGTTCTGAATCCTTCCGAAGTTTCCAAAACCGGCCCTAGGCGCGCAGTTCCCGCCTCTGCGGTGAAAGGTTAGTGACGGCTCTGACCTCAATGCAGGTGTAATCTGCTCTCCTGGTACAGGTGGTGGAATCTGCTTTCCTCAATACGGGTGTAATCTGCTCTCCTGATTAAAGGTGGAAATTCGTAGAATTGTTTTTAGTCATTAACTAGCTGGGCAGAGGGTTGATGTTTGGATGTTCTGTATAGCCTGCTTTAATTTCTTTGTCATTTAAAGTGAAGAAATTGCCTCCAGAGTCTTTGAAGAGTCCCTTAACAGCTTTGATGAAGATGAAATGGCCAATGAGATGTACAACCTTGACAAGCCAACATGTTTTCACATCACTGAACAGAAAATTATTTACCTCTTGTAAACTGTAAGCTTTAGCACCAGCTCATGTGCTGATTTAACCCACAGTGATAAAAAGATTTCCCTTTGTTTTTTCCCTTTGTGAATGGGAAGGAATCTATCCTAGTTGGATAGATGAATGATACAGTCATGTCACAGCAATTCTCAAGGTTGGTCACCATTCAGAATGTAAACAGTAAAAAAGTTAATTAAGTGGGTTTTTTTGGTCCCACGTCAGCTGACTAAATTCTTTTAATAGGATAATGTCCTCTCCAGCCTAAACAAAACATGTTTAGCTGCACCACAATATAGGCGAGTATCAGCTTTTTATGCAAGTTTAGTCATATGTACACTGCACAAACCTCTGCACATACAAGTTGAAGCTTAATGCATCAACTTTTGACATCATCAAATATTTTCTCTACACCAGTAACTGACAGACAGTCTGATAGGGCCACCTTCTGCAGGAAGTACAAATGCATCCTTTCATCATTGCTAACTACAGCTAATGGATAATACCGAAGAAGCTATTTAGCTGTGGAAAAGTTTTCTACCTTCCTTTTACTTTGTCTTTAGTTTGATATAAATTCAGTTGGCTTGAGTTCTCAGTTGAATTTTTTTTGTTGATCCTCAACTTAGTAGCTCATATAACTGATTAGCATTTTTTTTTACTAACATACTATATTTTCACATTTTAGAGATTAATGGATAGGGGGGGCTAAACTTTCACTAGGAGACTTTTATGGCTCCAAAATATCTTTTCATCCATGAACTTTTAGACTAGCAACAGGCAAACATTTGTTGATAAAAAATTATGACTATTTGGTGACACTCAGAAGACAGAAGATCTGTCTCTTCATAGTTTGTTGTATTAGGCATGGATCTAATATGACTTAAATAATGTCCATTCACTTACAACAGGCACAGATCAAGCAACGGTACTAAAGTCAAGCAATACTATCTCCTCTCTCTTAAAACTGCAAGTCCTAAACATGTTATTAAAATATACAGAAAACAGATCAGACCTGCTCCCATCTATCTCCTTCAGCTTCTTTCTTTCCTTTTCCTTGCCTGTGTCACATTATTTTTCAGATTACAAATCAGATTTATAAGAAGTCATGGCTTAATGAGACATTAATCCATTCATTTTTTTTTTATTTTAACTAGAAAAATCTTCTCACCTGACTGGCCTTCAGCAGGGCTATCACCCCATATATCCATCTACAGGTTGAAGAACTGAGGTATATAAACTCTCATTATGTTTACCACTGTGTGACCATTTCACTGACTTTATCTTAACAACAGGCTGTGGCTACTACTTGTGCGATTGCTTCAAATACTGAAGAGAACTATGAAAACAAAGAATATAAAGAGCTGTCAAGAACATAATTTCTGTCTCTTTCACTCGTTTACACTCTCACTTTCTGGCTTCTTAAAATTCATGCTTACACTAAAATAGTGGCTAATGTTAAATAGCCTATCCCTTTTCTTTAGCTACCTCATGTAACCAGAGCTGGTTTATGAGGAGCCTGGTCACTTCCTATTTCCCCCGTTATATCAAAAACATGACTGTAAAACGCAAGAGGGCTCCTGCGAGTCAGTCCTCAATGAATGGGAGTAAATGGAGCTCATCAGCTAAAAACGAAAAGTTAAAATAGTTTCTAATCACTTGCCCAGAACTTTTCTTTAATTTTAGAAAGTAGAAGTATGTATTTTACTAAAAAAGCACATACCTGTATATTTCCTTTTTTCTACAGCAAACGGGTTTTGGGCAGTAGGACGCTAGCATTACTGCTACTGTTACTGCTGCCCACAACCACAGGCTCCAGTGAACAAACATCTACTCCTTGCTAAACACTCGCTTAATCCCTTTGCTAATTGCACAAACCCAGCTGACAAACCATTAAAACTGAGATAAGTGTTACTGTCATTGTTTTAGCAGAAGCAGCGTTACCTGATTCGCTGTGTTCAGTTTTTGTATGCCATTGAAAAGCCAGAATTCTCTCCTGTTTAAATCAACACTTAAGTAATATTTCTTCCAGTCCACTGCCTTCTCATTCAAGCCAACAGGGTTTAAAAAAAGCCAGGCCCCTGCAAAATGCACAGCTATTCAAACCTGTCATCTGAAAGTAAATCTGCTGAAATCTGGTGAACATGCAGTTTTAGATCTGCTGGAAAAGCACAACTATGCAGTATTAGATCTGCTGGAAAACCACAAACATTCAGTTTTAGATCTGCCGGAAAAACACAAACATACAGTTTTAGATGGAGGTGACTTTGTTGTTATCTACTTTCTTTCTGCAAGATAAAATAAAATAGGTCAAACTCTATAACCACAATATGGCATATTCATGTTAGCGACCATTGTGATGAAGTGAAAGAAGTAACAAATTGTAATGAAGTGATCATGTTTGACCAGTACTAGATAAATCATTTTACTAAACCTGCTTAATTTCCCAAGACTTTATTCATACTGCATGTAATAAGTAGTAACACACTTTCGAGAGAAATAATGTCATAGAAACTGAGACATTAGCATCAAGATGTCTTATTAGTCTTTAGCATATTTCTCCATAGTGTTTAAATTATGCCTAGTTAATAGTTGTAAATATTATATAAATATGAGTAGCCAAAAGTAATATACATACAAGAACAGTCAAAATGTCAGGATACATTAGATCAAATGAGAGCCTAAAGAGAATCTGACTGCTAAAAAATCACAATTCTGTCAGTTCTCTGGACAGTTGTCTAGTTTTTACTACAGAGAAAATGATCTCAGAGTTGTTCTGGTACAGTCAAATGCATGAATAACAGAAGAGGTCTATATAACAGACACATTTACAGTCCTGTACAAAAATCAGAGACCTCTTTTCATTTATTAATTTTATTAGTTTAAAGTCAAAATGGCAACTAAGTACAAGTCATTTGTAGGAGACATTTCTTAAGAGATTAAGTCATTTACTTGCATAAGGAAGAGAAGAGTCAGAGAAAAAAAGTGAAAAACAGGAATTTTTAAAGTTAGAAACAGATCCACTCATAATAACTGGTCTGCAAGACCTGATATACCACCAAAACTGTCATCATCAAGCTCTACTCTTGCTTCAGCTCTGAAATCCACAGTTGTCTCTGTCTATTCTTATACTGTAAGAAGACAGCTGAACACTGTGGGTCTAAAAGGATGTGTAGCTGTTGCACATCATTTGTTCTCAGAACAATGGATTGGCAGCTGGTGTTCTCAGAACAATGGAACAACTTGCCACCCCAGAGCCCAGGCCTCAACATCATAGAATGTGTTTGGGATTACTTGGATTGTGAGAAGAAGAAAACGCAACCATCTTCTAAGACTGAACTTTAGAGGTGTGGAACAATATCCCTGCAGATTTCTTTGAAAAACTGAAAGCAAAAAAAGAATGGAAGCTGTAATAAAGACAAAGTCTGGATGCACTAAATAGGCCCTACAGGTGAAAAAATCGATATCATATTTAGTTGTTGAAGCTTTCTGCTTCTTTTCCTGATACTGAAAACTCAAAAACGTGTGCTTAATAGCTGTTTTGACTGAAATTAAATAAAGGGTGGTATCTGACTTTCGCACATCACTGCATGTACCTTCTTTCAGATAGACGTGTAGCTAAATAAATAAGAAAAACTGATTACACAATTCACTGCAGGTGTATGATTTTCCAAGATGGTTATTCAGGTCTTTGGACAGTGCAGATGACCTAGAACACCTACTGCTCAACTTTGCATGTGTTTGAATACTCTCCAAGTGCAGTCAAACTGGTTCTCGGTTTGCAGAATTTCTTTCAGCGTTTACATTGGGACATTCTGACCCAGTTATATAAAATGCAGTTCACACAAGGAACAGAAATAACCACATGATTTTTATTCTCATAATTGTGTATATAACTATATTTAAATAAATGTTTTTTTTCATTACAAAAGAGACACAGGTAAGAGTACATAAATTACACAGTGAATAAATACCACACACTAATATTTTGATGTCGTATGCAGAAATTCAACCTTTTATCACACTTGGTTACGACTCTCAACATTTTTCAAGGTCACATGGAGAAAATGAGCAATTCTTTGACAGAATATCTCAAAGAAGTAATAAGAAATAAATCAAAAGCTTATATTTCCATATAGATCTGTTTTATATTATCATGAACCTTGCACAGTACATGTGCATAGATGGTTTCAAGAAAATGCTTGATTTGGTCTAATATTTGGCCTAAAATGTTATTGTTTTATTCTAAAATAGGTACCACATAAACCCTGTCACACTGGTCGGCAGAATAAAGATTACTATACATGCTACAGATCTCCCGCTACAGTGAGCTTCCCTCACATTGAGTGGAATTGTCCTGCATTATAACATGAACAATAGAGGGATTGCATTTATCGGAAATCACATTTGAACTTCTTAAAGTGCCAGAATCTTTAAGGACAGCGGCTTAATAGAAAAAAAACTCGGGTCATCTTAAAGCCTTATTTACAATCAGAGAACTGAGTTTTTTGCACAATGTTATCAGCTTGCTAACACAATGTCATACTTGCAAAGCAAGATGTCGGGAAAGCGCAAAGAATTGAACACAAAATATGCCTTCTATAAAATAAAAGCTCAGTGTGTTCTTGGTACCACTCTCCAGTCATCCATCATACTAGTACTCTCTCGCTGCCATCCTCCTCAATTTGAATGAACTCATGAAGAGCAGAGGTTTGCTTTGAGTGAGTGTTTTTCCTCTGTGGTCTTGATGTAAATCAGAATTCAAATGCGTTGAAAAAGGCACTGAGATTTCCATGAGAACCCAAAGACCCCAGGAGCAGCCACCAGGGAGAGAGAAATGGCTAGATGGGTTTTTGTTCCATCCTGTATTCAAACAGCTAAGTCTCCTTATAGTACGGTGAGCCATTGGAATATACCGCACATTTGCATATTTTAAAGTTGAAGCTTATTTCAAGAGATTGTGCCAGCTTTAATTGAGATGGAGAAAATATGTATGCCACTTCACAATTAACTAGGTTACAAACTGGTGCTATGCTCTCGGGTTTAAACTGAGTTCGAAAAACCAGAAGGCATTTCAACACGATAAGCTTACTTCCTGTAATCAGCTACTGCTGACAGTCACTATAGGAGAAAGTGTGGGACTGACATAATACCAGCACTGACAGTCATTCACATTGCACATTGACCGAGAAATGAAAAACAAATTCGTAGTACAAAAAGAAAGTGTCTGTGGACAAGTGCTCCACAGTGGACAAACACAATGGAATTGAACCACCCCTCACGAGCATACAGACCTCGTCATAGTTGCTAATATTGCTTTTATACCACTAGTAGTGAAAACTTACCCAACTCCATTGTTGTTCTGATATGATATGCAATATCTTAGTGCGCTAAGTAGGCTTATGAATATAAAATGTTACTGAGATGACTGACATTCGAGTTCCAGAGGAGAACAGGGTTCACAGGAGCTGTCAAAAGATATGAATTAAGTGCGTACAAATCTAATGTCTACTTTTAACTGTTCTGAGGTTAAGGACAGGCTCTTACAAACTAGGATTATTTAAGTGATTGGCAGTGGATGAAATATGGCAGAAGATGGGGAAGGGGGGGCAGAGACCCCTCACTCATTGTTGTTGCTGTTGCTCTCCAGGTCTTTGCATTGGACGTCACCTCCGCTGTAGTCAGTGCCTGGCATTATTACCCCATACTTATCCACACACCAGCAAATGCCCCGCTTGCGTCCCCTGGAGGGCTTACACTGTAATATGATCAAAGATGGGGAAAGAATTTTGAGTTAGATCATACATTAGGGGTGTCAACTAGGGACAGGCATTGCAACTTATTTGATATTCAAATAACTGGATAACTAGTTAACCACAGGTAAGAAAAAGAGTACTTTGGCTGAAATTAGCTGGAGAAATTGGCCAGAGACTTACTCTTTTATGATAGTTCTGGTGTCAAGAGGCTAAAACAATCACAAAAAAGCATAATAATCACAAAAAAATGACACAACCATGTCTGTAACGTATCCTTGGCAGCGCGTTCACAGTTACTATTACTATTACTTACTATTACTACTCAAGTACTCGTGCACATTCCTGGTGTCAAACAAGTTTCAGTGCTTTTTTTTCAAAGCAGGACTGTGAAATTTGGCTCATTTGCTGATTGACTTTTCTAACATGAAACAAGTGCCTTAGCTTTAGTGCACCGCCAAAGACGCATTGTTATTGAGGCAGAGATCACACAGCTTTGTTGCTAACTAGGCTTAATACTGTAGCTGATGTTAGCTGAAAATATATTTCTCTGAAAACTAACAAGTTAGCACACAGTCCACTGAGAAGAAAATACCTGTAGAAGATGACAGGTCCTCATCAGTAGTGCAGGATAAGGTAGCTCTGTTAGCTCATTAGCTCCTCTGAAGCTGCACTCCTCTGGCACAATTTTCTTTGGCTATATTAATAACATCTTTTCCAATTTTAGCCTCCTAACACCAGTGCTATCATTTAAAAGGTAAAAATCACTATGCTACGTTTTTTTTCCTTTTCTGTTGTTACTTTTTTCTTCTCTGTGGTTAACCTGATATTCGTTCACTAACTATTACAGATACTCAAATATCAAAATTTGTCAGAACGCACACCTCTAGTTCCTACTGGGGCACTGCTCTAGTTCTACCTCATCAAACCCAGCCAATTTAACCCTTCAGCCTTAGCAAGGCCTTCATTAGTTGAATTCAGAATGTTAGAAGAGCGTCTGTGCAGAGCTGTGGCCTGCAAGGAACCCAGTTTGACACCCCTGCTTTACGAGGTCTTCAGCCAACCACATACATTTTTGGAAAAGGACATATTACATGTTGTGTCTCTATGTGCAGCACATTAAGGACAGTTATGCACAGACTAAGGTTATGTATGACTTGACACCTGTTTGCGTTTGAAGAAGCCCTTCCTGTCACAGTTGGGCAGATAGAGAGACAGAGCCAAGATTCGGGGGGCATCCTTCATCTTCTGGATAATTCCATCCAGCTTTCTTCGACATGGTCCCTGCAGTTAGCAGAAAACAACCATACTAAAAAACATGCTCAGTTTATCTTTTTTAAGCTGGGGTCTCACTAACAGAGAAAGAAGTGATCAAATAGGATTTTAGCACGTTAATTCCTTTTTTCCTATGTATGCACCAATAAGGCAGGAAGCTTTGCTAGCTGGTTAGCATGATCTGTAGGACCTACAATTTCAGACTGATGTTTGTCTATGCTGAAGGTGGAGTAGTCCAAGTGGCCTACAGTCTTGAGCTTGGACTGTATTCGCTTCTTGTCCTTGCGAACGGCGTGGGCCTTCTTATTGTTGATGTGGTCTCGGGGAAACAAAGGCACCTTGACATGTGGAAGCAAATCCTCCGCCACCTCCGAAATCACCAGCTCATGCGACTCATGATCTGTGAATTAGGAACAGCAGAACATGAAGTGAACTTGTTTAAACTTCAAAAGTCTCAGTTTCAGTGTTCCTGACCATCAGTATTATCCTTGTGTTGACACAGTGATGAGTAACTTTGCCTCTTAATTGTGTAATTTTTAAAAGGATAAAAGAAGCTGTCCATGACTGAGATTTTGATCAACCTACCTAGTGCAGACACGAGAGTTAGAATGAAAGTGCAAACGTAATCAAAGGATTCATTGCAAAGGAGGATAGTTTTCACAGAGTGGAGATATTTTCTTTCAAATATATGCTCAGTACTGTTCATTGTCACCATGTATAGCTGAATTACAAAATGCAGATCTTATATATTTGATATATATGAACGTTAATATCAGGGATATACTGTAATTTTTAAAAAAAAGATCTGCCAGTGATTCCGAAAATAATCATCACCCCAGCCCTATGCCTGGAAGCTGCTTTATGCTAGTTTCCTTGAGCAAGCATAAGCCTAGCTGCTTGACTGTAGCCTGTAAGGTAGCCGTGAAACTTGCAGCTGCAAAAAACTAGTTAAGCGTTCAGGAGTTAACGAATGATAGCTTTAAAACCCAGGCAGGCTCTATCAATCCCAGCTGCATAAACGAAGGAGGACAACCAGGATGTTCTACACTCTGGCTGCCTGCCTGCCATCAATCTTGCACCACATGTCAGATTTCTGCCTTTTGAGTCTGTTGATTCCAGTCACTTTTGCCACCCTCGTTCACAGCACTGGCCTTCCTCTACTCAGTGGATGCTGCTGCTCAGTTTTTCCATATGCAGGGCCCCCCCTTGTAAAGGAGGCTTAGAAAGACTAATGTTCAGCATCTGACAGCCAGCCAGGGCTCTGGAAAGTCGCCAACAGTGCTTAGTCATGTGTAGATCACTCTTTTCTTCCTACCACTCTCTGTATCTGTCAGGCTTTGTCTCTCGGTTGCCCAAAGTGGAAGACAGTTGGTCAAAAGGTAAATAAATGGAGAATAATTATTAATAAGAACTGCGTTTGGTGCAAAGGTAGAAGGAACTATGATATTGTACCCTCCCTAACTATTGGTCTCCCTGGTAAAGACAAGCAAAAAGGCAATAGATAATGTCTTTGTCTATTAAGTAGGAAGGAACTTAATCTTTCAATGAAGTAAACTACAGCCAATCACAACCATGGCAAAGGATGCATAATCCTACAACTATCCATCTCTATGTGCAGCATATCTTCTCAAAAAAACATGTAACAAATATTGGCACTGGTTCATTGTATTTTATACACCCTTCCCTTTTCCAGGATAACAGTACTGAGTGTTCTCTTATAATCCTGGATAAGGCTGGAGAACACAACTAAAGGCATCCGAGACAACAACTCTCCAGATCCTTCGCAGTGCTTCATTGCTGCTTGTGGACTGTCCTCCTCAGCTCACCCCACAGGGGGGCACTGCAAAAGATTGATTGTGTGACCAGTGAACCATCATCCTGCTGGAAATTCCAACCTCAACCTGACAATGCAGGCAGATTTTGATCTAAAATCTGGTTTTGAAGGAGTCCTTGTTGTCACGTATCATAATAAGATTCCCAGGCCTTTGGAAGGAAAACATTCCCACAGTCCCACTGATCCACTACCATACTTCGCATTGTGTATCTGGGATCTTGTCAGTGCGAGTCTTTTTACACCAAACCCACTTCTAGTGTTTGTTCCCAGATTCTATGTTTTGACCATAGAATCAGTTGATGTTTACCAAACCCCACATGCTTACATCAGTGTTTCATGACAGTAGGGCTGTTCTTCAGTCAAGACTTCCAAATAGTTTTTGGCATGGAGGTGGCATCTTATTGTAGTTCTGTAAGACCAGTGACCCCAGAAAAGTTATCCTTCCTTCATTGTGTTGCAGCCTGCTCAGGCAATCAGGCAACATTTTGCCTCTCAACCCATACTGTACATAGCAACCACATACACTTCTGTCCACTGCCAGGCAGATTTACCTTAACTTCAGATGCTTGTTATATCTTACATCATTTATATTATCTGAATGAAAATATATCATATCAGATTGTTCATAAAAATTTCTAGGGGTGCCAATGTCATTTTTACTTCAAAAACTGAAAGCTTAGCCCTCCTTCACATTTTCGGTGTATGTTCATTATACCTCAGAAGACAGCAATACTGGAAGGCACTGAAGAAGCTTGTTTTGTAATCATCTCTGAATGAAAAAAAAATATTAATGAAAACTTTATAAGCGTCTTGACTGTAATCAATTCAATTGTGATGAGCGTGTAGTAACTATGAACAAGTTTTACATTTTTAGATCCTTTCATATAGTGAAACATGACTCTATAAAAACAAAACAAATAAATAATAAATGGTAGTTCCTCTATCCATCATATGATTGATTCCCCTATTACACCAAGCTCAGCAGTCCATTTCACAACACAATAAAATTATAACTTATTACTTTGTTTGACAAATTTCACAATGAACTTCGTGTCACAATGTTATTTAAGTATGGAGCCCTGCTGGTGACATCCCATATAAATAAAAATAATGCGACTTAGTAAGGCATAGGAATGAGATAATGAAGTTATGGCCACAACTTAGTAAGATGTGGGGAGATGTCACCAGCAGGGCTCCATATTTAGGCAATTCTTCCAACATTTCTTTAATAAATGTTAGGGGTTTATCATAAGGCATAGTAATAGGTTAATGATTTTATAAAATTAAGCATAAATATGGACGAAACAAAGCTTCTATGTGCAAACAGCATAAGATCTTATATGAAAGAGGAGTTTTACTGCACGTTTATTATACTATGTATTTGTAGTAATATGACTCAGACATTATTTTGCATTCTTTCTTTCTTTCCTCCAGCTGCTACGCACTTTCTCCATGAGTGAGCGCCAAATGCAAGCTGTAAGACTTGCTGTAAAACTTTATTAGGAGAGATCACTCAAGCCTGCCAGAGAAACAGTCGACATGCATGTTTCATTTGGCGTACTGCTTTTCTGCATGACATGAACATAAACACACCCCAGAAAAGTCGTCTGGTCTTGTGGAAAAGCCGGAGTTTCACTGCCGTGTCACGATTTGTAATCTGTCAACTTTTTCCACTTCCTTGAATTAAGGCAAGGCCCTAAACTGCCAGCAAGTGATATAGTGCAAGCCTTTTAATTGAGTGCTGAAAATGACAGATGCCCACTTTAATTTCTCCAGGCAACTCAAGCCTCCCACGTCAGTGCGGTGTCCAGCTGTATAGCGTGAGTAATCAGGTCCCAGGGCCTGACCCCCTCCTCTCTTCTCCCCCGTCCACTGCAGAGGAGCTAAGCGGCTGGGGAAACAGGGTCACACCAGATGAGCAAATCTCCCAAGCCCTTCCTGACGCCATCACTAGCAAATCAGCCACGACTATTCCTCTGACACTGATTCCGGAGAAACCAATGCAATAAATCAGCTGGGGGCTTCCGCCTTTCTTCCTTAATCTGCCGCTGTATCATCTGGCAAGTTTTTTTCTCATTATTTTACGATGATTCCTTTTTTTGTTGTTCTTGAGGGATGTCACCAGTGAGAGGGTGGAGCTCCTAATCTGGGAGTAGTCTTCTGGGAATTTATGCTAATCTGAGCTCTGCAATGCCCAGAGAGCACTTGTACATGACCTTGATCTTTTGCATGCACCTTCTTTGCTCTCTGGCTTCCTTTCTTGTCTCCTCTCTTATTTGTGAAGGATGGTGGTCATCCTAATGCCTTTTTCTTTCACAGAAAACCTCTCTCTACCATTTTTTTAAAATAACACCGTTTTCTGTGTACTTCTTCTCTATCACATATTTCCCTTCTTTTTTGTCCCCTACCAAATCTTCTCTCTTCTCGCACTCTTGGACGCTCTCTCGCTCTCTCTCTCTCTCTCTCTCTCTCTCTCTCTCTCTCTCTCTCTCTCTCGCAGTCTGCGGGTAGAGCAGGAAGGAAGGATTGCCTTTCTGAAGAAGAGTTCATCCGTCTTAAAGCATGTTGAGTAGAACACACAGAGCCTCTTACAGCACACAGAGCCTCACCACACAGCAAATATCAACCTTGCATACGTGCAAAGAGAGAAAGAGAGAGAGAGAGAGAGAGAGAGAGAGAGAGAGAGAGAGAGAGAGAGAATTCGAAGGAAGAACTGAAAATGTTTGACTAACACTGCTTCTAAGGCCAATTACAGAGGCAGAAATATGATGATCTTAAATCATTAGGAAGCACAGCCACCATGACTACACACTATTCAGTTCATACTGCCTTATAAGAGTTAATTGCAGCAAATGCTTGACTGTGGACTTTGTCCCTACAAGGAAGAGGAGGCAGTAAGCTTCAAAACCATTAAAGCTCAGCCTGTGCTGTTTCATTGTGAAAAAAACTGAAAGCTCACGCAGCACACCATAATACTATTTAACATTCCGGCTGTCTGACTAGGCTAGTACTTTAACACTTTAACTAGTACCTTAATGCTCTATCACTCTGTTACCTTACATTTAATGAGCACTTTATTATTGTTAACTTGAACTTTAATGCTTTGGCTATCATTCTATTACTTTATACTGTAATGAATACATTAATATGCTAACTAGTACTTTAACCATCACTTCATTACTTCACACTTTGATGTATAATTTAATGCTTTAACAAGTACTTAAACACTTTAACTAGTTCTTTCATACTTTAACTAGCACTTTTTTTGAAGGGCTGTCACCCTTCACTAGTTGTTTAACTTTAACTAGTTCTTTAATACTTAATTAGTCCTTTATTGCTTTTAAATGTGCTTTCACCCTTTACTAGTATGCTCAGTTTAGTACATTAATACTGTAATACTGGAACTGTTCTGCTTTTATTTCACTAATACCTTGGCTACTGCATTAATATTTAAACTAGTACTTTAACACTTTAACTAGTACTTGCATACTTTAACTATACCACCGTAACCCTTAACTGCACTCTTTAAAAAGATGGTTCTTCAAGGGTTGTTTAGTAAAGGGAACGGATTTGTTTAGAACCTTGAGCTCTATGCAGAACCATTTCATGCTTAAATGGTTCTTTAGAGTACTAGTTAATAGAAGAACCCTCCAAAAGGGGTCTGTTATTGTTATAACATCAAGCTTGTAAAAACAAAAGAACCCTTTTTGGCGCTGTACAGAACCTTTTTCAAAAAGGTTCAACATAATGTGCTGTATATGGTTCAACAGAACCATATACAGCACATTCCCCATCAATCTGAAGGACCCTGAAGAACCATGGAAAAACCCATTTAAGCATGAAATGGTTCTATATATATATAAAACTCATGGTTCGAAACAGAACCATTCCTTTTACTAAAGAACACTTGAAGAACAATTTTAAGAGTGCAGTGCTTTTACTCGCATCTTAGCTTACTTCCACTGCATCACTACTTTAACTCAGCTGGATTTGTTCATGAAAGACTTTATCAGCGATATGAATTTACATCCACTCTTTGCTACTTTGACACAGGCTAAGGCTTGAAGCGCGTGAGCCGTGGCGCACGTGCATCCGTGAACTAACCTCGTCTCCGCATCTCTCCATGCGTAGCCCCCCTCTCCACCCCCAACCCTCCCTCCTGCCGGACACTCACCGCGCGCGGTGTGCGCTGACTTGTACGCCTTCTCGTTGGTGCACACTCCCTTGCCGTGCAGCAGCGCGTGCAGCGGCTTCTCCTCGCCGGCGCGCGGCAGACAGCGCAGCCCGCGGCTGCACGTGCCAGTGTAGACGCCGCACGCGTGGCCCTCGGCGAGCGCGCACGTCTTGCAGCAGCCGCAGCCGGGCTCCTTGACCACTTGGCAGCCCACGGGCACGGGCGGGCACATGGAGAGCGCCTTCTGGTCGCACGGCTCGCACGGCACGTACGAGGCCAGCAGCAGGAGGCGTCGGGGAGCGCCGCACGAGAGCGCGAGCGCCAGCCACGCGCACAGGCGCACGAGCATGATCCGTCCCCTGACGCAAAAGCAGCAAAGGCAGCGGCTGGCGACGCTCGAGCTTGCGCGGTTCCGGTCAGCGGCTGCGCGTCCGGCGTTTTGGAGAAGCTGGATGGCACAGTGCCGGCGCTGGAGGAAAACTGACCAGCCTCTCGCGCCCTTATTCTCACGTCTAAACAAAAAGCCCGCGGCTCGAAGTCAAACACGCCACAAGTTGAAGTTGAGCGTCTGCGCGCGGCGCTCGCTCTCCACTAATCCTCTCCGCGAGAGCAACAGCGCGCTGCTGCTTCCTCCTGTTTCCTAGAGCACGCAGACTCGCTTGGGCTCTAGCAAACTGTCAGCAAACCGGCCGAGCACCGAGCACATGTGGTGTGTGTGTGTGGGGGGGGGGCTGAGGGGGATTCCCTTCATTTAAAGCTACACTTTAAAAGTGTTTGGGGCGGACCCTGAAGTAGCGCAGCACTCTAATACACAAACACAACACTGGAGGTTCAAAAATACTGGATGTGAAAGGGTAGTTGTACACAAATAAGGGCCAGCTCGAGCATTTTAGGGCCCCTAAACAGGATTTGTTTGGGGCCACTAGTCTTGCAAGTTGATGTGCTGTAAAATGGAAGGCTAACTAACAACAATGACTACCACGAACTGTCTGAATTATATACATTTATAACTGGCTTATTGTGTCTTGCTGATGATTGGTTCTAACAAGTTACATTGTAAGAGACTGAATTCTGGATTCAGGGGTCTGCTCCAGCATGCAGTATTTTTTTCTTTCCTAGCTAACTTTAAGATTAGTTCAATGCAACCCCGGTAGCAGTGGAGACAGCACTGCTTTTTGCCATCATAAATGTTTTCCTTTCTACATATTTAGGTAGCATGATTTCTCCTGATGTTTCACGCAACTGGCTGTTTGTCAGAAGCTTCACACTTTCATGTGCACATGCACAAACGTTAATTATAGCCTGAGTATCTAGACCTGGTTTAATCACAGCCTGAGTATCTGAACCTGGATTAATCACAGTCTGAGTATCTAAACCTGGATTAATCACAGCCTGAGTATCTAAAACTGGATTAATCACAGTCTGAGAATGTAAACCTCAATTAATCACAGCCTGAGTATCTATATCTAGATTAATCACAGCCTGAGTATCTAGATCGTGATTAATCACAGCCTGAGTATGTAAACCTGGATTAATCACAGCCTGAGTATCTAAACCTGGATTAATCACAATCTGAGTATGTAAACCTGGATTAATCACAGCCTGCATATCTAAACTTGGATTAATCACAGCCTGAGTGTCTAAACCTTGATTAATCACAGCCTGAGTATCTAAACCTGGATTAATCACAGCCTGAGTATCTAAACTTGGATTAATCACAGCCTGAGTATGTAAACCTGGATTAATCACTGTGAGAGAATCTAAATTTGGATTAATCACAGTCTGAGTATCTAAACCTAGATTTATCACAGTCTGAGTATCTAAACATTAATTCATTGATTAATTAAATCATATTTACTGCTGTTGTAATTAACTGTGGCTGTGAAGGTCAGTCAGGAAGCATGTCTAATTTAAACCTGCTTCATTAAATAGACCTCAGATCCACTACTTCTTATTGGCCAACTACAAAACAAAACAAATGGCATAATGTTAACACTACAAGAAAAGAAAACATATCTACTAATTCCCTATCTACTAATTCACTTCTCTTACTTCTTTTTAGCTCCAGATGGGTACTTACATTTTGAGACATGATAAGCTAATTGCTTTTTTCCCCCTACTTGAGAATCTTAGATGACATGCTGATACAGTAATAACCCAAAAGTTGTTTTCGGGGGCCCTCTGGTGGGCATGGGGCCCTAAGCGGCTGTATATGTCACTTATTAAGTTGAGCTGGTTCTGCATGAAACGCTTCAGTTGTTGATTACAATCTGCTTATCAAAGAGGTAAGAAATGAAGCAGTAAGTCTACAAATTTTTCACTGAAAAGCAATGTGTTTAGGCTGCTTTGCAGATTACCTGTTTCAGTTCTTGAAGGTTGGAACCACTGATGTGGTCTCTAAGTGTGATCTTTAATGAATTTATCTCTTATTACTGGTATCTAGGTTGTTTTCAAAACAAATGTATATATGCTTTGTTTCAAAGATAGAATCAAATTTGAAGCATGGATTTGTTCCTTTTATGTTTTACACTGTTAACAACATTGAATCCAATGGCCACTTGGCTGGGCTTCTTGAAAGAACAGTTGACTGCCAGAGGTGAGGACCATTTCCAGGCAAAGACATCAGTATAACAAGAATTCTTCAGCTTACTAGACCAATTTAGAGAAGATGCATTCTTAAAGAGCAATTCCACTGATTGTTTCGCCATAATTAAATCATTAAGATGTAAATAAAGTCATGCAGAGTGGTTTGATGTGAATTGCTCTATTCTAGAGAAACTTATTGAGTCAAAAGTCTGAAGCTTTTTATGTTTCTGAAAGTTACTACACAGAAGGTTTTTACATGAAATTGCTATAAGTGCATTGCCTGATGAAACATTGAGACATTGTTTTGTGGTAGTTAAGATTTCGGTCTAAAACATTTTAAGTCTATTAATGGCAGGGGGTACACACAGGATGTTGTGAGGCAAAATAGTCCCCAAAAGACATACATTTTTGATATAACAGTGTTTTACCCTTATCAGCATTACATATAAAACTGTGTAGGTTCACTGATCATTTTGAATAGAATAAATAAAAGGGCAATATTTGGGTTAAAGGCATGGCAACCTCTGGTTCCTATCACCACTACCACTGTAGAGAAAGGTCCTCTACAATGATTCACCTCACATCAAACCACTCTGAATGACTTTGTTTATGTCAGCGAATTTGGAGAAATCTTGTGGAATTTCCCTTAAATGTTTCTAAATGGATATAGCATTGGATGTTTTTTCATGGTAAAAATCTTTAAGTGGTATAGAATTTTTACATTATGTGGCGGTTCTTTAAACTTTCAAAGGTTCTTCACATTCACATAACTCGTTTACAAAAATGGTTCTATGAAAAACTATCCATTGAAAAACAACCCAGTGTGGTTCTTCTATGGCAGTGTTTCACATAAGCCTTATTGGCACCTTTATTTTTAAGACATGATTGGAATACATGCATATTTTTAAGTTGGGTTCACTGCAGGTCACCCCTTAGCGACAGTCATTAAACTCTTTAGGCATACTGAATGGAAAGAAGCATTACTCGAAACTGATATGCTTTCCATGCAGTTAATGTGTCGTTCAGCTGGAAGGATCTAACAGCTTATTCTTTTTTGCTGTTTCAGAGCAGTACAGAACAGTAGCAAAATATGTGCCCAGAACTTTACACAGCCATCTCGTGACGTGACATGGCTTGACACATGACTTTTTCTGAAGCCAAGTGAGCTGGAGCCATGTTTTTTCCCTTGCTGTCAGTAAGTGGGAGCTGTGCCCAAAAAACACCATCAGAGAACGGTCGACCGCAAATTTCAGAGCCAGGGGCCCGATTACTGTGAGCTATCAGATTCGAAGTCGGTGTGGGAGCTGCTTGGTTTGGCTCTGGGAAAGAGATGACAGACGCTCCACTCTCTTGCTCAACAGTTGCTCTAGCTTACTGCCAGTTGTTTTACATTAGCAATAAATCTGAGATTCCCATACAGTGCCCTGAATGTATTTCTCAAATCAGCTGAGGGAGGCTTCCTCCAAAAATCCCCCCTACCTCAGGAGCGGGGTTTGGCTGAGGTGAGTTCTGTTTTGAGACGGAAGCCAAAAGTCTTTTTTCAAACGTCAATACGGTCTGCAGCTGGAGATGAGGTCCTGTAAATTGTGCTTTTATGGTGTATCGATTAAGAAATGGGGGAGGTGGGTGTACAATATGATGTGAAAGTCAATATTAATTGCTAACCTTTCTGTGCTTTATATAGAAGACAAGAAAGAGGGTTTCTGTACACAACAGTAAGGTTAGAATTAAGAAACTGTAGGCTACATTTGTGAACAATCTTAAGGGTGAATTCCACCAATTATTGTGATTTTTGTATAAATTTATTGTTGAAATGTAAACAAAGTCATTCAGAGTTGTTTGATATGAAATAGTTCATTGTAGAAAAACGTCCTGACTCAGATTTCTTTACAGTGGTAGTTATAAGAACCAGGGGTCACAATGTGTACATAAATATAGCCTTTTTTATTACTGTCCTAAACGGATATCCTAAATAGTGGCAAATCTTTGTAGAGTATTTTGCCTTACAACATCCTGCCCATAGCTCTACACCATGAATGAATTTTAAAAATATGTTTTAGGCCAAAACATTATCATAACTATTGTAAAATAGCATGTCAGGCATCAGTGAATATTGTTAATGTTAGCCATTCACTACAAGCTATCTAGGTATCTAAATATAATATGATATCAACTGATCTAAAGTAAAAGTAATTGGACACTGGATGTTTTTAACAGTTTTGAGGTATATTTCAATGTGCGGCAGAAACTCACTGTTTCATGTAATATCTTTCTGCGCTGTAGCTTTTAGTGGCATTAAACACTTTGGACATATGGTTCCTATCACCACCACTGCGAACACTTCTGACTTCTGACTAAGTTTCTATAGAACAGCGCATTTCAGATCAAACCACACTGAATTACTTTGTTTACATCTTCATGATAATTTCATTATGCAAAAAATGTGAACAACTTATGTAATTCCTCTTTAAATAATCATAGTTTGTTACTGCATATGCTTAAAGGCATTTGTCTACCATGTTAAAGCATCTCTTATAATTAGGACAAATTGTGGTGTAATTAATAGTCACAGAAGAAGACAAAACCTTGGCAGACTTGGATTGAATGCCCACATTATGGGTAGTCCTTCACTTTAACTAAATCACAAGGAACAGAGTACTACTGTCTTTCACGAGGCAGGATGAACTGACCTTTGCTTATGATCTTTTCACCTCACTCGTCCTCAACATGACAAGATGCGTCCTGTAGCCCATCACAGCTGAA